CACCACACGGCGAAGTTGAGTTGATTCTGCCAGAACTGCATCGGGTTGTTGAACCAAGCGTGGACTACCTTAACGTTAGTCACCGAAAACCTATACCTGGCAAATACATCTATAAACTGGGTGCCGAAATACAACTCATCAGAGACCACGATCTTCATATGTGGGAAATCTATATCCAGTTTAGGGTAAAACACTCCTGGGGAGGAGAATCCTCCCGGCTTGCACATTTTTAAAGTATTATATAATGAGTATATATACTCTAACATGTACGTAACACTTCCAGGAATATAGAGCGGCGAGTCCGTTCAGCTGATGCACGCGATCGATAACACGTCGGGCCAACTCGAAGTTGCACTCTGCGATATCACCTACCTACCGCGATGGATTAACATCAACGCCAACAACAAGAAGCTGTTCGTCAGTGGCGCCCGCAACCAGATAACTGACGGCTACTACAGCGTGTGCTCGCTAAGCGACGAGATCTTCAAACCCTTGGGAGCCGAACTCAAGATGAACGACTCAAACGGCACAGTGGTGTTAACCAACAACGGAATAAACCCCTTGAGGCTCAGCCGACCATTGGCGAGGGCACTCGGGATGTCGCCGGGCGAGATAAAACCCACAACTACCGTCACAGGCACGAAGTTACCCGACCTAGTGCCGTACCGCTGTGCATTCATCTCAGTCAGTTGAGCACAACGGACAACATTCAAGGTGGTCACCCTTCCACGATACTGAGAGCCGTACCGGTGAAAACGGAGAAATACAACGACGGCAGAACCGAGTCGTTTTCACCACGTCACTATAAGAAGTTAACTCGGGGCAACATCCCTGAGTTGATAATATCGGTGTTAGATATAAAGCATAATCCTGTGAATATAGGATACCTCAGGATAACGCTGCACATAAAATGACTAGCGCCTGGAATGAGGTTGAAAAAATGCATAAATGCGGGGATCTCCGACCTCGGGGACACACGCGGATTCGACGATCCCCGAGTAGAAGGTAACTTGCAACTGAAAAACAACATTTACAAACGCGTTGAAGTCCCCTCCATCGGTGGAACCCTAGGTGACATAGTAGATGTCTCAGGAGCGGCCCTCAACACTCGGTTCGACCTAGTCCGAATCGGTGATGATAGATGGGTGGTATCCCAATCGTTCGGAGGCAAACTGTTCGACTTAGAAGATGTTGATAGCACGACCGTCGCCCGAAACAAGCAGTATACCCTCGTCTTCACCGACGACGACAAGTGGGTGTTGTTACCCTCTCGAGTAGATTGGTTTCTCAACATTAGTCTCGGCTCCCCCTACGTGTTCACGGAGAGCAAAGACAACTACCTAAACAAAGTCGTGAACAACGGAACCCTGCTCGTGGCGTACGTTCCGGCGCATAGACGTAGTGTAATCATCAGCCCACTCTCCAGTATGGCAGCCCACATGCTATCGAGTAAACCGGGAGTGCAAGACGGGGCATTGCAGTTGGTGTCTGAATTCGCTGGCGTGGTCAACATCCTGGCGAGCCTACCGGTGAACTCCACGCTGGTCATACAAGTCTACCTAGGGGAACCATCGACGGATGAAGTCGAAATCGTGAAGGGGATCAAACTCCGGGTGGTGAAACGGCAATATCAGGTTTGCACTGTTTACGTGCGGGTGGGTGTTGACTCTCACACCAGTCCGCAGGGGGTCACCGTGACTGTGGAAGACACGATATCACTCACCAAGATCTTCCTACCCGACAACATACACTTCATGAGGGTGAAGTGCCCCCCTGAGAAATTATCAGAAAAACAATTGGAAACTATCTCATAATAGTATTATAGCAATGTCCAATCGTCATCGACCCAACGCCCCACTTAACGACCTAGGGGACACGGAGGGATTCGATCTGCCCGGCGAGGACAGCGGCTCGTACGTCCTGCTATTAAGAGACGGCGTGTACATACGGCAGCCTCTGGCAGACGGCCTTAGAGAGCCCAAATGGTTGATCAACATGACCCTCACCGCACCTTATATCTCGTTAAACAAAGATGGCTATGTCTCCGAAATTAGGAACAACGGTACCTTTCTCAGGGTTTTCATTCCGGAGTCTGATGCAAGTGTCCAGCTAGCCCCGGGTCGAACGAGCAGCATGTTAGTTTCCGACAAAAATAATGAATTAAGGTTTGACGCCCCCGATTCCCAATTGAGGTTTATGGGTGTGAGACTACGCTCCACACTCATCATAGAAGTCCATTTCAGGGGAACCCTTTATAGTTCAGCACTACCACTTTTACCCGGGTTGACAATACACTGGGATGCCATACACAGGAACCAACGTTGTTGTATCGTCATACAACCGGGACCGGGCTCCAAGGATCCTATAGACCCCTTAGTAAGCCTCCATAGGGTTCGTGTGAGAGCAGAGTGGCCTATTAGCCTCTCACCTATTTCCCTGCCTGAGAGTCTACACCTTGTAAGTCTCAAATACACTGAGCAAGAATTAAATAGCACACAATTAGAAAGTATCTCATAAGATAAATTATATGCACACAGGATGGGGCTGTACCCTGTCGTAGAAGAAGTCGCGAAGACCCTGGAAACCATAGACGGGTTCCGCTTGAGACAGTTATGTGATGTAAAACGCCAACTAGAACAAGACCGCGACACACGGAAAGCACTATATAAGAAGTACCATATAGCTTTCAATATCGTGGACGGGACTGATACTGCCCTGACGACAACCAGCATGGGACTAGGGGCAGCAGGTGTTGGGTTGTTAGCCACCATCGTGGCCGCACCTATAGTGCTAGGCATTGAAATAACAGCTGGGGTGGTAGGGGTGGCAGGGTTGGTGTTTAAGTTTGCATCCCGCAGACTGCATCGTAAAGCGTTGAAACATGACGAGATCAGGGTTCTGGCCGAATCAAAGCTGAACACGGTAAGTGAACGTATTTCCACGGCACTCACTGACAGTAAGATCTCAGAGGAGGAATTTCGTTCAATCCTCTCTGAACTCGACAAGTACCGTAAGATGAAACAAGAAATCCGGTCCAAGTCTCGCAAACCTGCTATCAGTGAAGACGAGAAAAAAAAGTACATAGAACAGGGGGTACGAAAAGCCCAGCAAGCCTTTATTACGAACACCAAAGAGATCATAGGCGACTCACATTAAACTGTTTCCTCGAGGTCAACACGACATAGTGTCACATGATCAGGATTGCAGTCATAGTGACCCAATAGTGTCACGTGTGTCCGGGAAGTTAACTGGGGATTCAAAAGTAGTATATACGATGGGGGCGAGATCTAAGGGCCTGACAAAAGCTTTATTTGTGAAATAAAGCTTTACAGAGGCTTTTGTTGGACTTGATCTCGGACTATCATTGTATATACTACTGACAACCCAAACAGAGAACACCTTACAGGCAACCGAAACAGAGAACACCTTACACACACCTTACAGACCATCCAAACAGAGAACACCTTACAGAAATCTTACAGACAACCCAAACAGAGAACACCTTACAGACATCTTACAGACAGACAAACCAAACAGAGAACACAGTACAGACATCTTAAAGACAACCCAAACAGAGAACACCTTACAGATAACCCAAACAGAGAACACCTTACAGACAACCCAAACAGAGACCACTTTACAGATAACCCAAACGGAGAACACCTTATCGACAACCGAAACAGAGAGCACCTTACAGAAAACCCAAACAGAGACCACCTTACAGAAAACCCAAACAGAGACCACTTTACAGAAAACCCAAACAGAGAACACTTTACAGACATCTCAAACAGAGAACAGCTTAGAGACAACCCAGCAGAGAACACCTTACAGACAACCCAAACAGAGATCACTGTACAGACAACCCAACAGTGAACACCTTACAGACAACCCAACAGTTAACACCTCACAGACATCTCAAACAGAGAACACATTACAGACAACCCAAACAGAGAACACATTACAGACAACCCAAACACAGAACACCTTACAGACAGCTGAAACAGAGAACACCTTATAGACAACCCATACAGAGAACACCTTACAGACGACCCAAACAGAGAAATCGTTACAGATATCTCAAACAGAGAACACGTTAGGGACATCTCAAACAGAGAACACGTTACAGACATCTCAATCAGAGAACACATTACAGACAACCCAAACAGAGAACACCTTACAGGCAAACCAAACAGAGAACACCTTACAGACATCTTACAGACAACCCAAACAGAGAACACCTTACAGACATCTTACAGACAACCCAAACAGATAACACCTTACAGACAACCCAAACAGGGAACACCTTACAGAAAACCCAAACAGAGAACACCTTACAGAAAACCCAAACAGAGAACACGTTACAGACATCTCAAACAGAGAACACGTTACAGACAACCTAAAGAGAGAACACCTTACAGACAACCTAAACAGAGACCACCTTACAGACAACCTAAACAGAGAACACGTTACAGACAACCTAAACAGAGACCACCCTACAGACAACCCAAACAGAGACCACCTTACAGAAAACCCAAACAGAGACCACTGTACAGACACCTGTAAAGGTAGTGCACTTTACAATACTGGCATCAAATATAGGAATTTGCTGAATGCTCAAAGCCAGTTCTCTTTACGATACTAACAAGAGATTGAAAAGTTTACAATAGAGACCATTCAAATTAATATTATCTATCTATCTATCTATCTATATCAATATCTATCTATCTATGTATCAATCTATCTACATGTATATTATATATCTAAAACCGATGTAAAATCTTAATTTGCACTGAAAAGGCCACAGGCCTATAGTACATAAAGTACACTAAATATTACTCGCAACTCAGAGAAAGACTGACACTCAAGCACAGAGCGTTTTCCAGACAACCCAATCCAAGTTTACTACACCTTAAAGAAAACTCAGAAACACTAACAATAACTCTTCGTTGTCATATGTTAACTAACTCTTATCATATGTGACCAAATTTGGCAAAGGTTACCTTCCACAGTATGAGGAGAATGATGATAAGGATGATGATGCCGGCAAGGACGCTGCCGATGATGATCCAGATGTTGACTTTGCCAGGTGGATTCTCTGGGTAGATTGGCGTCATTACCTTTAAACGAGAGGAGGACTGTCGTTAAATATCGTGTGGTTACATCTTGCAGGTCGTATTTGGCCAGGTGTAAACCTGTACCTTCGTCTCGACAACTTGTCCCAAGAGTACAGGGAGTGATTGTTGTGATACCACACACCTTACCTTCGTCTCGACAACTTGTCCCAAGAGTACAGGAAGTGATTGTTATGATATCACACACCTTACCTTCGTCTTGACAACTTGTCCCAAGAGTACAGGAAGTGATTGTTATGATGTCACACACCTTACCTTCGTCTTGACAACATGTCCCAAGAGTACAGGGAGTGATTGTTATGATATCACACACCTTACCTACCTCTCGACAACTTGTTCCAAAGAGTACAGGAAATGATTGTCAGGATATCACACACCTTACCTTCGTCTCGACAACTTGTCCCAAGAGTACAGAAAGTAATTGTTATGATATCGCACACCTTACCTTCATCTTGACAACTTCTCCCAAGAGTACAGGAAGTGATTGTTATGATATCACACACCTTACCTTCGTCTCGACAACTTGTCCCAAAAGTACAGGGAGTGATTGTTATGATATCACACACCTTACCTTCGTCTTGACAACTTGTCCCAAGAGTACAGGGAGTGATTGTCAGGATATCACACACCTTACCTTCGTCTCGACAACTTGTCCCAAGAGTACAGGAGTAATTGCTATGATATCACACACCTTACCTTCGTCTTGACAACTTGTCCCAAGAGTACAGGAAGTAATTGTTATGATATCACACACCTTACCTTCGTCTTGACAACTTGTCCCAAGAGTACAGGAAGTGATTGTTATGATATCATACACCTTACCTTCGTCTTGACAACTTGTCCCAAGAGTACAGGAAGTGATTGTTAGATATCACACACCTTACCTTCGTCTCGACAACTTGTCCCCAAGAGTACAGGAAGTGATTGTCAGGATATCACACACCTTACCCTCGTTTCAACAGCTTGTATCCAAGTGCACAGGAACAAATATTCAATATATGACCCACCTTGCCTCCGTCAAAACAAGTCCCCAAGATGTAATAGCAAGGATATCATACACCCTACCTTCGTCTCGACAGCCTGTCCCAAGAGCACAGGAAGGGATGGCTAGGATACCACCCGTCTTACCTTCGTCTCGACAGCCTGTCCCCAGGGGTAGAGCAGGGGGTGGTCAGGTTGGATCACGGTGGCTTCAGTGTAGTACCTCAGGAAGTCAACCCGCTGGATCCAAAACAAACGAACACGTTTTGCACTTATCACTTTCATTGCAAGAAAACGCAGATCGTTACATCCGGAGCAACTAGTCGTTCGTTACAACCGGAATTGCATGCAGCTGAATACGTTCGTTATTACATCTACATTTACACATGCTTCGTCACATCCGCAGTGACACGTAGTTTCATAAATAGTTATATACCCGTAATAGCATATGGTTGGTTGGCTGGTTTGTTGTTTAACGCTGCACTCAGCAATATTCCAGCTATATGGCAGCGGTTTGTAAATAATCGAGACTGGACCAGACCATCCAGTGATCAACAGCATGGGCATCGATCTACGCAGTTGGGATACGATGACGTGTCAACCAAGTCACCCGATCCCGTTAGTCCCCTCTTACGGCAAGCATGTGTTACTGAAGATCAATTCTAACTCGGACCTTCACGGGTCTAAATTTGAACGCGAAGTTACCCACATCATAAAAGGGCAGGTTGCTTCCTGGGATCCAGACGGTGATGTTGACGATGGCGCTACTCCCCGGGCTCAGATGATGCAGAGGACACGTGTACTCAACACACTTGAAGTCAGCACAGTCCTGTGAACCAGACAACCACAGCGACTTCAGTAGCAGCCTCCATCAGAAGCCAGGAAGAAAACTGAACCATACATTTAATGATAACACCAGGTAGTTACTAAACGTACGTGATCATAACGGCAAAATATATCACCTGAATCTTATCTAGACTGAAGGACATAAAGCAAATATAAGGGGTTTGTTATGTTACTTCACCTATAGAGGAACTGTTGTTAACTATGATTATGTCAATTTCACCTCCATCCAACAGTCCAACAATCGTGCAACAGTTTGAATGAGTAATTTATGAAAACACATATTGGTAAGAAAAGGATTTGGAACCTAATAACCCTCCTATGTTTTAAATGGTGCAAATACGGTGAAAACATTACTTTTTAGTTTCAAAGATAAGATAGGATTTGAAAGAGACCCACCTCCAGTAGTTTATTACATAATGGGCATAACTATGCAAACTTTATTAACTATAACAAAATCCAGAAAATACTGACAAAAGAAAATGTTTCCTCAGGTTTTACTCTGAATTGCTATACATGCAGGATTTTCCGAGGAGACAAGAGATATATTTTGAAAACAAATGGGATTACACGGCTTGTCTCCCCAAGCAAGGAAGCGATTACGAAGAAATCCAAACAAATACAAAATCACCCCCCAAGCCCAACTAAAACAACGAAAAAATACCCTCAACTCGTCAAAACCAAACCAAAACCAATTTTCAGTCTCCCCCTCTGACCCTCAACCTACCATGTCCAGGATGTTTTTTGCGATGTCTCCTGTTTTGCGCTCCTTTAATTTGGAAGGAGGCAGGACGGGTAAGAAAGCAGTCGTTGTCTCCACTGGTTCAGTCGACGTTGTCGTTGATGTTGTTGATGTGGTGGAACTCTGCGCGATGCCTTTACTTTTTATGTATCGCTGACAGCCGACGCTTGTTCCGTCTTCATGTAGGATCTGCGGGGACCATATGAGTGTGGATAGATTTACAGGCCTTGTTTTGACAAGGAGAAAGACAATGGAGCCGGAAGTGATAGTGAGTGAGCGAGTGAGTTTAGTTTTCGCCGCTTTTAGCAATAATCCAGCAATATCAGAGCGGGGGACACCAGAAAATGGGCTTCCCACATTGTACCCATATTGTAACGCGAACTCGGGTATTCGGCGTGAAGATCGAACGCTTTTTATCGGTTCCCATTGCGCAGATCGATGCTCATGCTGTTGATCACTGGATTGTCTGTTCTAGACTTGATTATTTACAGACCGCCGCCATACGGCTGGAATATTGCTGAGTGCGGCGTAAAACTAAACTCACTCACTCACCTTACATTCATCAGGCAGAGCAGCACACCTCACATCGTGTCCTCACCCTGAGATACACACATTTCTTACATCTCATACGCCTTACATTCACCAGGCAGAGCAGCACATCTCACATCGTGTCCTTACCCTGAGATACACACATTTCTTACATCTCATACGCCTTACATTCATCTGGTTGAAGCACATATGGAAGGTTGACGGAGACAGCGCCTCCTTCTTCGTGTACGTGTAAGGTACGGCAAGAAACTAGGACCAGCGTTCTTGATGACGTATTTGTGCCCGATAGTAACCTTGGTTTTGTCCAGTTCATCCATCCGTACCAGAACTTGGTCGGGATCTGACTTTCTGCAGTGCATTAAAGTGACTGTCATATCTCATGCATAGATATGTGTTTCTATTTGAGTCGATTAAAAATGGTGATAAAAGCCAAAATGTGTACATTTTGTCTGCGTTTCGTGGTGATATGCTTTGGAGAAATAAATATGATTTGGTTTGTTTGTTCTTTATCGACGCACTCAGCAACATTCCAGGTATATGGCAGGCGTCTGAAAATAATCGAGTCTGGATCAGACAATCCAGTGATTATCATCATGAACATCTATCTACTCAACTGGGATACAACAAGTGTAAACCAGGTCAGCGGGCCTGCCCACCGGATCCCGTCAGTCGCCTTTTATGACAAGCATGGGTTGCTGAAGACCAATTCTAACCCAGATCTTTACGGATCGTAAAATACATATCGATCAGTATCGATCCATTTCGAAACAAGGTAGTGTGTATAATTACCCAATGATTCCTGTTTGAGCATCGATCCAGACGCGAGTAGTTAGATTGGCTTTGTTATCATCCGGTGTCGTCTCGTTACTTCCGGTTTGAACAAAGACGTTAAATTCTAGCGGGGACATATCAGTCCTGATATCATCTGCCGTGAAGAAGACTTGAAAGGCAAACATCTCCTTGGAATACACCGGAAGGAGAACGTCACATTTCAGCCGATTTCGGAATACCCCGATTTCCTCGGCGTCTCCGTCGCAGACGACAGGTTGTTGAGAAGATGACTCTGTCGTCTGCATCGACACAGTCCCAGACCACGTGACATAAACTACTGTGGCGAATGCGGTTTCCATGTCGTTCCTGACAGCCACGTTCAGCACCAGGCCGTTTGTCGCGTTGATAACGACATCCTTGTTTATATCTTCCCTAATAACGGCCCCATCCGCGTTATTGATGCTCGCCTCCAGGTCAACGACAAGGTCAGACCAACACTGGTTGTCTTCACCACACTCAAGTTGAAAGGCCACCTGAAGCAACCGAAATGTCACTAGTCACTTGAAGCATTGAATCATGCACTTGAAGCATTGAATCATGCACTTAAGCATTGAATCATGAAAGCTTCACCATACAAACTTACAAGAAGGCAGTAATCAAGCGTAAATGTAAGGTTAGAATATATATAGGAAAGATTTCACTGTCATCGACTTGAACCTTCCAGAAGAATACCAACAGGGAGCTCCCAATCTACAGAATGTGTAGATACTTTATACAGAAATAGCCACATAATTGGGTTTCCATCTACTGTTTTTGTAAGGTTTGAACAATCTTCAAGGCAGTAACTTATCAAATCACGGCATTGAAGAAGCTGGTTGTCAGGGGAACATTTCAAGCAAGTCTGAAATAATGACATGTTTCCTAGTCATCACATAAATAATGTTTACTGAATATCCTTTATCGATTTTCTCAAGCGACAGGACATCGTCCATGTTACCCATTGCTACTCTACTGACATGCAATTGAGGGATAAGGTTCACCTCGTGTTCCCGTGTTTTGTTGGTAGTCTTTCGAGGACAAAAGTGTCTGACGAAAATTTGACTGAGGATATTTGCTTCATCATTTGTTATATGTTGACATCCTTACATGGACAAACGGTATTTTGAATAGATATTTTGTTAGGAAATACATGTTTCGTTTATTTAGGAGATAAACATGTGGCAGAGGTATATAACAAGATTATAATAGCTCTAAATTTGATTTAAAACCGAACGCGTAGTGTGAGGTTTTAAATTAAAAAAATAGAGCTATAACAATTTCGTTATGTACCTCTGATTTTCCAACACAGTATGTTTATCTCCATTCTACCATACCCGTGTTATTAAGATTTAAAAAAAAATACATACTGTGTCAGAGGTATATAACGTGATTATATACCTCTGAATGACTTTAATTAACCAATCACAATCAAGTTTTTCCCAAAGTCATGGTAGAATTCTTGTTTAATGCCGCTCTCAGCAATATTCCAGCTATATGGCGGCGGTCTGTAAATAATCGAGTCTGGACCAGACAATCGAGTGACCTTGAGCATCGATCTACGCAATTGGGATACGATGGCATGTGTCCACCAAGTCAGCGATCCTGACCACCTGATCCCGTTAGTCGCCTCTTGGCATGAGTTGCTGAAGACCAATTCTAACCAGGATCTTCACGGGGAAGGAAATACATGTACTGGCATCGGACAAGATAGTGGATTGTGAAACGGATGACGTTCAATAAAAATAAACGAATAGTTTAAACTTGATTTTTTCCACAGACTTAAGTCTAAATTTGGTTTCTTCTTGAAAACCTATTGTTTCGTCATGATTAATCATGCAATTGAACAAATAGCGAAAGATGTTCTGGAAATGTAGTATGTAGTTTGTAAGGAGGAGATAACCTCAGCTATTAACCACTCACATCCTTGATGAGTTTGTCGGGACGTGACTTGTTTGTGACCGGCTGGATGTCGGAGTTGGGATCCGCCGGTTGTGGGAGTTGGTACGTGGCCTCAACACGGACCACAGTGAACGGATCCTTATCTGCTCGATCCTACAAAGATTCATACATAAAGGATAATAAATAATTATATTGGTGATAATGTTATTAACATTGCTGAAATGAAAGAAGAGGTGGTCCGATATTGGGACAGCATGGACCACGACTTTCTCACTTCTTTGATCAGTAGTTTGCCCCGCCGCATTGAAGCCTGCATTTCTGCCCATGGTGACCTGACAAAATACTAACTGTTCACCTGCCTTTGAATCTGGAGTTAATTTATGCTAATATTCACATTTAATACGTGAGTAATGAGTGAACAAAATAAAAAAATTTTACAATCTTTAAATTCTCAATAATTTCCGGCTGTACTGTATATATGCAGTGCTTATCTTACATTTACACTGATGGCTTGAAACTCCCGGCACGCCCCTGTTTGGCTGTTAGCAGTTATTACATCAGATATGGAGTCGACGTAGCCCTGTGTCGAGTTCATGAGTATACGCTTTTGTCCATTTCCTTTGTATGTATCCACCGAGAGTACGTAGTCAAATACTGTAACACACGTGTTGTATGGTGTTACGGCATAGGGGTGTGTGACAGATAAACATGTTGTATAGAGTTACAGCTTAGGTGATTGTATGACACATATCCATGTTGTGTAGCGTTACAGCAAAAGGGATTGATTGTATGACACATATCCATGTTGTGTAGCGTTACAGCAAAAGGGGTTTGATTGTATGACACATATCCATGTTGTGTAGCGTTACAGGAAAAGGGATTGATTGTATGACACATATCCATGTTGTGTAGCGTTACAGGAAAAGGGATTGATTGTATGACACATATCCATGTTGTGTAGCGTTACAGCAAAAGGTGTTTGATTGTATGACACATATCCATGTTGTGTAGCGTTACAGCAAAAGGGATTGATTGTATGACACATACCCATGTTGCGTAGCGTTACAGCAAAGGGATTGATTGTATGACACATATCCATGTTGTATAGCGTTACAGCAAAAGGGATTGATTGTATGACACATACCCATGTTGTGTAGCGTTACAGCAAAGGGATTGATTGTATGACACATATCCATGTTGTGTAGCGTTACAGCACAAAGTTGGATTGATTTATGTATGACACATATCCATGTTGTATAGCGTTACAGGAAAAGGGATTGATTGTATGACACATATCCATGTTGTGTAGCGTTACAGGAAAAGGGATTGATTGTATGACACATATCCATGTTGTGTAGCGTTACAGGAAAAGGGATTGATTGTATGACACATATCCATGTTGTATAGCGTTACAGCAAAAGGGATTGATTGTACGACACATACATAGCGTTACAGCCATGTTGTTGTAGCGTTACAGCAAAAGGGATTGATTGTATGACACATATCCATGTTGTGTAGCGTTACAGCAAAGGGGATTGATTGTATGACACATATCCATGTTGTGTAGCGTTACAGGAAAGGGATTGATTGTAGGGATTGATATCCATGTGTACACAGCAAAGGGATTGATTGTATGACACATATCCATGTTGTGTAGCGTTACAGCAAAAGATTGATTGTATGACACATATCCATGTTGTGTAGCGTTACAGGAAAAGGGATTGATTGTATGACACATATCCATGTTGTGTAGCGTTACAGGAAAGGGGATTGATTGTATCCATGTTGTGTGTTAAAAGGGATTGATTGTATGACACATATCCATGTTGTGTAGCGTTACAGCAAAAGGGATTGATTGTATGACACATATCCATGTTGTGTAGCGTTACAGCAAAAAGGATTGATTGTAATGACACATATCCATGTTGTATAGCGTTACAAAAGGGATTGATTGTATGACACATATCCATGTTGTGTAGCGTTACAGCAAATGTTGGGATTGATTGATTGTATGACACATATCCATGTTGTGTAGCGACACATATCCACAGCACAGCAAAGGGATTGATTGTATGACACATATCCATGTTGTGTAGCGTTACAGCAAAAGGATTGATTGTATGACACATTACCCATGTTGTTGAGCGTTACAGCAAAAGGGGATTGATTGTATGACACATATCCATGTTGTGTAGCGTTACAGGAAAAGGGATTGATTGTATGACACATATCCATGTTGTGTAGCGTTACAGCAAAAGGGATTGATTGTATGACACATATCCATGTTGTGTAGCGTTACAGCAAAAGGTGTTTGATTGTATGACACATATCCATGTTGTATAGCGTTACAGCAAAAGGGATTGATTGTATGACACATATCCATGTTGTATAGCGTTACAGCAAAAGGGATTGATTGTATGACACATATCCATGTTGTTTAGTTGTTACACCATGCACATTCAATTTAACACCGTAATGTCGAAAATGAAGGAACCCTATAGATTATTAAATCAGCGGTTGATACAATAAAAAATACATATTATAACATGGGCACTCTAATAATATTTTGTTTATTACCGAAGTCGTCAAATGGAGGAAAATATATTCAAATCTACTTGCAAACATAGGCTGGCTACCCGCCGTCGCCGCATGTAGAACGCAACGTTAGAGAAGAAACGTGACGTCAAAGCATTGTTCATGACGTCACGACACCATGATAAAGTGATATTTTGCCCTGGGGCATCGTATGAAAAATATGATCCCCGATATTTTCACCCTCGTAGGTAATAAAATGATAAAAAAAACCAATGACTAAAGAAGGAATAGGCAGTGAACAAGGTTTCACCCTAAAACAACCGTATGTCCGATACGTCACGGTTGGACTGGAGCTTGGGTTTTAAAAATTACATACAGAAATTCAGAAAAGCAAAGACAACAACAATGAAGTAGAACCTTACTGAGGCTGGAAGGTAGGCTGACTCCAGTGTAGTGGAAACAGATCCTCAGCAGGAAACACCTGTCGGCGCTAGTCCCCGCCGGACAATTAGACCTGTCCTTGATGATCAGCTGGGGGTCAGTCGTGACGTTGGCGTGGAGGTCAACTATGGGCCTCGTTCTGAGAATGACTGCAGAATCCGAGAGGTACGCCCCGACAGCGATATCTGCAAAGGACAGCTTGGTCAGTTATTTCGGTCTGAACAGTGTTTCAGTTTTATTATTGTAGAATTGTTTCATGAAGGGGGAGTCCCGGAGTAATCATGGTCGTCAACCGTTGATATGAACGACATTGGTGAAACCGAAAGAACGTTGCCAGACAAAGGATCAAAACAGATGGTGATCAAAGGATCAAAACAGGATCATCCAGTAGCACAGTGTATTGAGACTTTCAGGCAACAAAACTACAACGAAAATGTAAAGAGTCTACTCACAGACGCATGGCACACTTTGGACATTATCCGATCTTATATTTAACATGAGAAAAACAGAGCGTTTTACTGTTGAGTGCGGTGGTCGTACCGGGGTAGCCATTCCTGTCCACGTCGGCAGGTTTGGAGATGCTCCAGCCAAAAGATGCCACTGTCTCCGTGTCGTTGATGTCGCGGCCTCCTATTCTCTGCATGGCCTCGGCGTTCACCCCTCCTTCCCCTCCGTGGTAGATGTATACCGCCCCGCGTCCTTCATCCTCATATGGCGCTCCAACAGCAACATCTGGAAGATGGTAATGTTGTCAGGTAAAACTGCATCCCTAAAAGTCCACGCGACTCAGTTTCCCCCTGTGGCACGAGCCTACCATGTCCGTTGGTGAACTTGTAGTAGAGAGATGGACTGAGACAGAGTAAACGTATGTGAGTATAGAACCTGGTGTCGCGTACATTTTTTAATGTATGTGTGCCAGTACATGAATATAATGTGGTTAGTTAGGGGTCACGGTCGTCCGACCCCCTCACTCCTTGGACGGACCAAGCAAGTGGAGAGTCTGAGCTACTATCTCCCCTGACGGCCATCATTAGTAGGTAACTGTAGTAGGGTTACTAAAGCCTATTCAGCATTTACGACAGTAACGACACATATCTTAAGACGTATTCAAGGAAACATATTACCATCAATTATGATGTCCCCAAAGGTACCAAAGTCATTCCCCAGGTAGCCTGTATGGCCGTCACCGTTGATGTCTCCAAGGTTACTGATAACAGTTCCTAACTAATGTCTTCCTGCATCACCGTTGATGAGTCGACGGCTACCACGACAATCTCAATCTCACCTGCATAGCCATCACCGTTGATGAGTCGACGGCTACCACGATAATCTCAATCTCACCTGCATAGCTATCACCGTTGATGAGTCGACATGCTAATCACACGACCTGCATAGCCAATCTGATGAGTCTACCACCTGCAATCACCTGCATAACAATCACCGTTGATGAGTCGACGGCTACCATGATAATCACAATCTCACCTGCATAGCCATCACCGTTGATGAGTCGATGGCTACCATGATAATCACAATCTCACCTGCATAGCCATCACCGTTGATGAGTCGATGGCTACCACGATAATCTCAATCTCACCTGCATAACAATCACCGTTGATGTCTCCAAGGTTACTGATGGAAGTTCCAAATCTGGCTCCGTATTCATTCTTCCCCTTGAGAACCGAGCTCTGTGTCAAGACCCGCTGTGAAACGTATAAACGAATAGAAGCCGCTGAGAAAATAATGGCCAACGGTAAGTCAACTGTTTCTTTCATCAGTACAGATGCATGTTCTTCAACAAGTCTTTAAGCGGAATGCTCTCGTGTACTCTGCAGAGAACATAACAGCGCTAAACTGACTGGGTTTCTTCAGGAAATAGGGTGGGGCACATGCAACATGCTCGCACACGTAAGCAGGACACTTTCACATGTCCTGTAGCCATAGAAAGTTATACGAGGGGGTATCAAAATGTTCCAATTATCACTAAGAAGTTACTAAGCAATCAGGATACAAGTTTGACCCTACACACCAATCCCCAGGTATGGAGAAGATTGAGGCGCGCAGTGTAATTAAGTTCTTGCACTTGAAGGGCTGCACTGCACGACAAATTAACGATGAGATGAAATCTGTTTATGGTGATGATGGCCCATCCTATGATACTGTTGTGAGATGGAAAAGGTATTTCCAAACCGGTCACATGTCCCTCACAGATGAGCCAAGAAGTTGACGCCCCTCACTTACTTATGATATGGACACCGCGAACAAAGTCGAGGCGCTGGATCTGGAAGATCGCCGTGTAACAATACACATGGATATGCATGAGACCGACTGGAGTTATGGCAGTGCATTGGACATCATTCATAACCAGCTGCACATGTCCAAAGTGCCAGCACGCTGGGTTCCTCGCTTAGAGTAAAGAGTGGAAACATGCCTCATCACCACCTCCGAAAAAGGCCAAGGTGCATGAAATCAGGGGACTTCTATTCAGCCGGTCTGCACAAGGTCAAGAAACGGTGGCAGAATTGTGTAGCTCGGGATGGTGACTATGTAGAGAACTCATAAGGACAAGACAGCAAAATATTTTTTGTACCCTGAATTCTTGGTGATAATTAGAACTTTTTGATATCGATCGTATGAACTAAGATATGGAGAGTTGTGGGTTTTGTCTTGCCTGTCTGTTGTCATTGAGGAGGTTCAGGTAGACAAACACCCGCCCTTCATCCATGTAGATTTTCTTCTTGTGATCACTGTCGTCGTTGCTGTCGGTGAAGTACGGAGCCCCGACCAGCAGGTCGTCGAAGTCGTCTCCATTAACATCTACCGTACAAAGGGAGGCACCGAAGTAAGCCCCGGCCTGAAACCATACTGTTCGTTATGATGCGGGACGTCTACTGTTCGTTATGATGCGGGACGGCAGGGTAGCTTAGTGGTTAAGAGTTCGCTGGTTACGCCGAGGACCCGGGATCGATTCTCCACATGGGTTCAATGTGTAAAGCCCTTTTCTGGTGTCCCCCGCCGTGATATTGTTGGAATATTGCCAAAAGCGGCGTTAAACTAAACTCACCACTCACTCACTTGACAACTTTATCCAGTGCTTCACAGTGCCCTGGAAGCTTCGGTCGGACGAGCAAACGCCTTAACCACTAGGCGACCACACCGCCCCATAAGTTGTCAAGGCTTCCAAGCCTTGCGTATCAGAGTATGCTTTAACGTTCTCTATGATTGTGAGACGCTCCTCAACGTATTGTCGCCACCGACACAATGACAGACGCATCATGCGTATCTCTAGGCAACTCACCTGCTCGCCTCTCAACGACTTCACCAATGAAAGTAGGTTGATTGAGTTGATGTAATTGACTACCTGAAATATTTTAAGATAACGTGTTCAGATTGTGTGAGGCATAATTAGTGTAGATGTAAGTAACAACTGCTTTGCTCCGGATGAAACAAAACATCAAGTGTATAACGTTACAGGAGAGCGTTGTAGGTACGTTTTGGAGGTCATTCATGTGGGCAAGTGTTGAAGGAGAGTAATGTATGTAAGTGTTGAAGGAGAGTGATGTATGTGTTGAAGGAGAGTAATGTATGTAAGTGTTGAAGGAGAGTGATGAATGTAAGTGTTGAAGGAGAGTAATGTATGTAAGTGTTGAAGGAGAGTAATGTATGTAAGTGTTGAAGGAGAGTGATGTATGTAAGTGTTGTAGGAGAGTAATGTATGTAAGTGTTGAAGGAGAGTGATGTATGTAAGTGTTGTAGGAGAGTGATGAATGTAATTGTTAAAGGAGAGTAATGTATGTAAGTGTTGAAGGAGAGTGATGAATGTAAGTGTTGTAGGAGAGTAATGTATGTACGTGTTGCAGGAGAGTGGTGTATGTAGGTGTTGTAGGAGAGTGATGAATGTAAGTGTTGAAGGAGAGTAATGTATGTAAGTGTTGAAGGAGAGTCATGTATGTAAGTGTTGTAGGAGAGTAATGTATGTAAGTGTTGAAGGAGAGTAATGTATGTAAGTGTTGTAGGAGAGTAATGTATGTAAGTATGTGGGAGTGTATATGGGAGAAGTGGAGGAGTAATGTATGTAAGTGTTGTAGGAGGGTAATGTATGTAAGTGTTGTAGGAGAGTAATGTATGTAAGTGTTGAAGGAGAGTAATGTATGTAAGTGTTGTAGAAGAGTAATGTATGTAAGTGTTGAAGGAGAGTCATGACTGAATGTGTTGAAGGAGAGTAATGTATGTAAGTGTTGAAGGAGAGTGATGAATGTAAGTGTTGAAGGAGAGTGATGAATGTAAGTGTTGAAGGAGAGTGATGTATGTAAGTGTTGTAGGAGAGTAATGTATGTAAGTGTTGAAGGAGAGTAATGTTGTAGGAGAGTATGTATGTAGTGTTGAAGGAGTAATGTATAGGAGAGATGTGTTGAAGGAGAGTAATGTATGTAAGTGTTGAAGGAGAGTGATGTAATGTGTATGTAAGGAGAGTGATGTATGTAAGTGTTGTAGTGGAGAGTGATGTATGTAGAAGTGTTGAAGGAGAGAAATGTATGTAAGCGTTGAAAAGGAGAGTAATGTATGTAAGTGTTGAAGAGTGAGGAGTATAGTGATGGATGTAAGTGTGTTGTACAAAAGTGTTGGAAGGAGAGTGATGTAATGTTGAAAGAGAATTGTGTATGTAAAGGAGAGTAATGTATGTAAGTGTTGAAGGAGAGTGATGTATGTAAGTGTTGAAGGAGGAGTAATGTATGTAAGTGTTGGAGAGAGTAATGATGCAGTGTAAATGTTGTAGGAAGTGTTGAAGGAGAGAAATGTAGAGAATGTAAGTGTTGAAGAGGAGAGTAATGTATGTAAGTGTTGGAAGGAGTGAATGAGAATGTATGTATATTGTTGTAGGAGGAGTGATGAATGTAAGTGTTGAAGGAGATGTAAAATGTATGTAAGTGTTGAAGGAGAGTGATGTATATAAGTGTTGAAGGAGAAGTAATGAAAAGTGTATATAAGTGTTAGAGGAGAGTAGATGTGTATGTAAGTGTTGAAGGAGAGTAATGTATGTAAAGTGTTGTAGGAAGGTAATATATGTAAGTATTGAAGGAGAAGTAATGTATGTAAGTGTTGTAGGAGAGGAGTAATGTATGTAGAAGTGTTGAAGAGAGTGATGAATATAGGATGTGTTTATAGGAGAGTAATGAAATATAGAAATTGTTGGAAAGGAAAGTAATGTATGTAAAATAAGTGTAGAAGAGTAGATGCTTATGTAGAGTAGTAGTGTTGATTAGGAGAGTGATGAATGTAAATTATTAGAAAGTGTTAAGTCTTATCATTAAGTGTTGTAGGAGGAGAGTGTATGTAAGTAAGATCTTAAGTGTTGTAGGAGAAGGAAGGTATAGAAGGAAATGTGTTGTTAGAAGAAGAATAATGTAGAACAAGTGAGAAAATTGAAGAGAGTAATGTATAAGGTAATTAGAAAGAGAAAGTAATGTGTTCAAGTGAAGAGAGAGGTAAGAAGTATGTAAGTGTTGTAGAAGGAAGTAATGATATGTAAGTGTTAAGTAAGGAGAAGTAATGTAAGAGGTTATAGCTTAGAGAGTGATGATATGTAGAATGTTGGAGAGTAATGTATATTAGGAAATGTTAGAAGGAGGTGATTGAAGGATAGTGATAGTGTTGTGAGGAGAGTATATGTAGGGAGATGAAGTGTTAGAAGAATGGGAGTGATGTAATGTAAGAGGAAGTGTTGCTTAGAGGAGAGTAACAAAGTTATAGGAAGTAAGTAAGAGAAGAATGGAGAAATGTATGTATTGAAGGAGAGTGATGAATAAGTGTTAGTAGGAGAGTAGTATGTATAAGTGTTATTGAAGAAGATGAGTAAAGTGTTAAATAGGAGAGTCATTGAAGAGTGATGAATGTAAGTGTTGAAGAAGGAAGAATGTAAAGTGTTGTAGGAGAGTCATGTAAAGTGTTGTAGGAGGAAGTAATGTATGTAAGTGTTAGAAGGGAGTAATGTATATAATTTAGATAGGAGTGTTAAGTGAAGGAGAGTGAAGTGTAGGAGTATTGAAGGAGAGTAATGTATGTAAAGTGTTGAAAGGAGAGTGATGTATTAGAAGGTATTATGGGAAGAGAGAGTGTGAATGCCAGGAGAATATGTAAGTGTTGTAGAGGAGAGTAATGTATGTAAGTGTTGAAGGAGAGTAATGTATGTAAGTGTTGAAGGAGAGTAATGTAAGTAAGTGTTGTAGGAGAAGTGTATGTAAGAGTGTTGAAGGATAGAGTGATGAATGTTAGAAGTGATTGAAGAGTGATGAATATTAGAAGTGAAATTATGGGAGGAGAGGAGTAATGTATAAGTGTTGAAAGAGTGTTGTAGGATAAGTGTTGTAGGAGAGTAATGTAAGGAAGAGATTAGAAGTGGTAATATGCTTAAGTGTTAAGTAGGAGAGTGAGTGTATGTAAGTGTTGAAGAGGAGAGTAATGTATGTAAGTGTTGAAGGAGTGATAGTATGTATGCTTAAAGTGTTGTAGGAGAGTAATGTATGTAAGTGTTGAAGGAGTAAGTAATGTATATAAGTGTTGAAGGAGAGGAATGTAATAAGGAAGTGTAGTAGGATATGTAAGTGTATGTAAGAGTATTGAGAAGAGGAGGAGTGATGTATGTAAAGTCTTTGTAGGAGAGTGATGTATGTAAAGTGTTAGAAGGAGAGTAATGTAATGTAAGTGTTGATGAAAAAGAGTAAATGTATATAAGTGTTGAAAGGAGAAGTGATATATATATAAGTGTTAAGAGGAGAGTAATGTAGTATGTAGGAGTGTTGTAGAGGAGAGTAATGTATATAAGTGTTGAAAGGAGAAGTAATGTATGAAAGTGTTGAAGAAAATGAATATATGTGTTGTTGAGGAGAGTGATGATATAGTGTTGAGGACAGTAATATGTATAAATGTTGAAGTAGAGAAGTAATGTAAAGTGTTGAAGGAGAGTGATGTATGTAAGTGTTGAAAAGGAGAGTAATGTATGTAAGAGTGTGTAGAGAGGATGTAAATATTTATGTTATAGGAGGAAAAGTATATGTAAGTGTTGTAGGGAGGAAAATGTATGTAAGAGTGTTGAAGGAGAGTGATGTATATAAGTGTTGTAGGAGAAAGTGATGAATGTAGAAGTGTGTGTGTAGGAGGTAATGTATGTGAGAAGTGTTGAAGAGGAGAGTGATGAATGTATGTGTTGAAGAGTGAGGGAGTGATGATATAAGTGTTGAGAAGTAATGTATGTAACTTAAATGTAATAGGAAGTAAGAATATGTAATGTAAGTGTTGAAGGAGGAGATGTATATGTAAGTGTTAGTGAGGAGGTAATGTATGTAGAAAAGTGTTGTGGGAGAAGTAATGTATGTAAGTGTTGAAGGAGGAGTGATGAATGTAAGTGTTGTAGGAGAGTAGTAAGTATAGAATGTTGAAGTCAGGGTGTGTATGTGAGTGTTGAAGGAGAAGTAATGTATAAAGTGTTGATAGGAGTGGAAGTATAAAGTATTAGGAAGAGATTAATGTATGTAAGTGTTGTAGGAGTAGTAATTTATATAAAGTGTTGTAGGGGAAGGAATAATATGATTTAAGTGTTGAAGAGAGAGTAATGTATGTAAAGAGAAATATGTATATAAGAGTTTAGAGAGAAATGAAGTATATAAGATGTTGAAGAGGAGAATGTTTATGTATAAGTGTTGTAAGAAGAGAATTGATGTATGTAAGAGTGAAGGAGATAATGTATGTACGTTAAGTGTTACAAAGGAGGAGTGATGTATGTAAGTGTGAGGTGAAGGAGTGAGTGAATGTATGTAAGTATTGAAGGAGAGTAAATGTATGTAAAGTGTTGAGAGG